TATAAAATTTTTATTGCTGAAATATATTTTTTTATCATTTCTCTGTATTCCAATATATTATTAAAAAATTGATATTGATATATTTGAACTCTAATAATTTACTGGGTGATACATACTGAACATCCTTTGCATTGATCAATATTACTCGACATAAGTTCTTTTATGTTATAAGTATTTATGGAGCAAATTATACAATAACATCAATAATAGAAAGAAATCAAGAATAACCAACGCATATTCGTCAATCTATGATTGCTATACAAGCTAATAATAATTTATATTCGTTCTCTTATTCTTGTCTCTCGAAAAAGTATAAGCAATAAATTATCAAACCTAACAAGTACCCGTGTCTAACATTGTAGACTAATTTACTTTCAATTATGCTACTGTTATTATTTATCATTAGACAATTATAAAACATATATATATATAGCACTACAAATTATATATGTATATGTTTTATAATTTATTTTATATTTTATTATTTGACAAGTTAAATCTCTCCGAATCATAATTTGCGCTTACATCTTAAAGACGAAATGCTGTAACTCTCTGATATTCCAATCTGTATTTTTGAAAAGGACCACATCCCGTATGGTCGAAATGTTAAAATAAATATATATACAACTTTAATTTGAGGCCAGTGTAGTCAGACCAAATCTATAACCTCTGTTTTATAATTGTCTAATGATAAATAATAACAGTAGCATATATAATTGAGAGTAAATTAGTATATTTTATATATATATATATTTATATATAAATAATATATCCACATATGTGCATAAGCATATATAAAATTTACAAAAATGGGTGCTTATTAGTCTTGCTACGTTACTGCTTTCTGCTACGGAAGGCCAGAAAGCATTTTTAGGCGGCATCTCACGTATACCGGCACGGTAGAGGAACAAGGAGAACACGTGATTATCGGTCCTTGTCTCTCTTACGTGCGTCCGCGTGAGCGATGCAGTGGTGTATGTACGTGTACAGACATACACCACTACATAAAACCCGAGAATTGATTTCTCGGCGTTGGCAACACTGAAACCGGAGTTTCGCGTTGTCACCGCACGAGGTCTCCAATATCAATTCGGAGTTTGCCTGGGTGTACTGCCGACCCTTAATGACCGACTATTTGTCATAAAATATTCCATAAAATCTTTTTCTTTAATTTATAAGATAACGTAAACGATGCGTCTCATTTGTAATTATATTTATGGAACCTTACTATCTTTATCACTATCATCAATAATTGAAACTACTCGGATTTTTACAATTTAGTATCAGAAATATTATTCTTCTTTTTTCAATATATTCACATAAATAAAAATTCCATGAATATAACATTTCACCGTAACTAAGAATATACCAATCATAATTTCATTTTATTATATTAAATTGCAATTTTAATAACTAGAATATAGCAGAGAATTATATAGAGAACGATTTCAGAAACGTATAGGAGCTAGCAAGCGAACAATAGAAACCCCAACGTGCGGCTATCGTTTAAACTTTCTTGTCGCTCGGACCGCCCCCGATCTTGATACGATAAGCAACCTCGCGCCTTTCGGGATGCTAACATCTGCACGTCATGAACCTCGGGAACCAACAAATCATGAACTTTTACGACTTATTCTCTCTTAGATTTTCTCGTCGCCTATTATCCTTATGACCATATATGGTCATGATAGATTCTCGTGACCATATTTGGTCAAAAGAAGAGCTCACTCGTTGCCTTCTCAGAACCGCCAAACAACCCCCTTCTTTTATAAGAAATTTATTATGATATCTGCCTGGGAAAAGCGTTTTCGTGGGAATCCTCCCAGCAAACACAGTATATAAATGTTATATACTCAAGCATGTTACATGTAACGTATATGTTAGTTGTAATTTCCCACTCATAGATGTAACATTTTTAATATTACATATATTACATTGTAGTTATATTGTCATTATATCCCAAGATAGCACTGACTTATCAATACATCGATGTGCTATTTGGTATATAATTACAATATAACTACAATGTAATATATGTTATATTAAAATGTTACATCTATGAGTTGGAAATTACAACTAACATGGATGTTACATGTAATGTACACGTTATATTACCTGTTATATTCCATTTTATTACAGCAATGTAACAATTACATATCGGTGTTTGCTGGGCTCCCACCCAAAAATTTGCACACGACACATGGATTTTTCGTTTTTGAGGCGTATATAAACCCTATAGAAAATCTGGCCAAACGGCGGCATTTTATCATAGAAAAGTTACAGTGTACCATCTTAAATTGTCGCTAGCCAATGAGTGCAGCAACAATTTCGTATCAGCCTAAAACCGCGCGACGGCATTTCATCATAAAAAAGTTACAGTGTACCATCTTAAATTGTCGCTAGCCAAGGAGTGCAGCGACAATTTCGTATCATCCTAAAAGATCATAACACGAATCTCGAAATATATAACTTTGTCAACGACGCTTAGTCGCTGTAACCCAGCGTCAATTTGTAACTTGGTATATTGTTCAAGTCACGGGTTAGCCGTCGACCTTGCTGACTTCTTAATTCTTAATCGCACACAATTTGTAACCGACTTAAAAGACGAATAAAGAAGTTCAGTGCATCGTACAACCTAGTGTTTGATTTCGCCATAAGCACCCCACGACCGAGGTCCTTGCGAGGAAGCGAAGCTGGTCAAGCACATCACAGGTCTACGAAGAGTTCGTCGTCTTAAAGGTAGGAATCTGTTAATCACGCAGATTATCCAACACTCCAGCATTACATAAAATTCGAACAAGTTTCGAAGGTTGCGCAGATTTCTTTCAATCATTATCCAATCGTCCTATTAATGAGAAAATACATCAATATTAGATAATAGATTTTAACATAAAGACAGAACTCCTGCTATTACTCTAATAATTCCCTTCGTTCGCATTCTCATATTTCCATCACCCTGAGCGCTGAATAGCGCACCGGAGGCAACTCTCCTATCAACGCTCTTTAATTTTTTAAAAACTCTTAATTTATACACGCTGGCTTAAAGGCGTTTGTTTACCAACATTAATATATATATATATATATTATATATATATATATATATATATATATATATATAGCAGAGAAAAGTATAGAATCGAAAGGATCTGAATAGCTCAATTGGAAGAGCAGTCGCCCGGCAAGCGAAAGGTCTCGGGTTCGCTTCCCGATTTAGCGACTTTCGGATTTATATTTTTCTCTCGCATTTATTTCCTTAGGGGGGAAGAGAGGATGTATAGAATTAAATTTCTTGTAGAGATTATTCCAATTTTAAATCTTGGCCGTGACCAAGTAAAATTTGGTGCCTTGTGCACAGGTATTTAATTCTAACGGAAAAAATTTTAGTTTCGTTGAGATAACGCACTGTTATCCGCGATTTGGCTCTTATTGCCTGTCTTACATTTTAAATTTATATAAATATTTAACATATACTTGAGAAAAGGAAAATAAAATAAAATTTCAAAGATAAATGATAATTACACAATGTCATGTTGATATCAATATACTACACGTACAATATAAAATATAATATGGAGTAAAATTTATTAACTTTATCATTTGTACGCACTGCACTTTTTAACATTATACATTTTTAACAGCCTCATTGTTACTAAATACTATAATATAATTATATTAAGAAAAGTAATTAAAAATCAATTTTCATTAGTTTAAATTTTCTTTGTCATCACCTGCGTCTTATTAAAAGCTTTAATTTACTGAGATGGAACCATTATTCTCTCTATTTTTTTTGTCATCACCTACATCTGTTTTATGTCTATTTTTTTCTCTTGAAAGCCTTAATTTACTGAGACTGAACCATTCATTCGCTATCTTTTGAAAATGCATTTCTTGCAAATTGTAATGTGATGACAATACTTCATCTGAAAATATTTGTACAAGCAAAAAAATAACATTTACGCATACATAAAATATATTTGAAATCGATTAAATAACTAAATGTAAGTATTATTAACAATACTATTTGTTAATTTATTTGTAAATATTGTGAAGTTAACATCTTCATTTGTGAGATTAATAATACGTCTATGCTGCTGGCAAGCTGATAAATCGCAAAAATCTTTTCTTTTCGACTTTTCTACGAACTTTAAGACAATAGTCTTAAAGTATTTTATTTTATATATATATATATATATATATATATATAAGTATATTTTATTATTAATGTAGTACATAAGTTATATAAAATTTATATTTTACCTCAGATATATTTAGCAATCACATGTGTGGATACTTGCGAATAACTTTTACTGCCATGACACTCTGATGACACTGCAACTGCGCAAACGCACAGTTATTCGTTTTATCACGTCCAATTTAGATATCACATATATATCAGCTACTAAATACGATACATATCCCAGCAAACATAGTATATAAATGTTATATACTTAGGCATGTTACATGTAACGTATATGTTAGTTGTAATTTCCCACTCATAGATGTAACATTTTTAATATTACATATATTACATTGTAGTTATATTGTCATTATATCCCAAGATAGCACTGACTTATCAATACATCAATGTGCTATTTGGTATATAATTACAATATAACTACAATGTAATATATGTTATATTAAAATGTTACATCTATGAGTGAGAAATTACAACTAACATGGATGTTACATGTAAAGTACACGTTATATTACCTGTTATATTCCGTTTTATTATAGCAATGTAACAATTATATATCGGTGTTTGCTGGGATCATTTCACAGCTACAGATTAATCTGTGGTTACGACTAGCGGCGGGATATTTGCAATTTATTGTAAAATGGCCTTCATAATTGTTTATAGAAAGTAGATCTCAGATTTTGCATAGAAAGTTGTAATTTTCTACAACACCTACAACACGAAATATTGCTAAAATATTGCATAAATATTTCAATATTGCGCCATATTACAAATATTGCAGTAATGTTGTGCAAATATAAATTATTTTATTGAAGACATTGCAAAATATTACTGTTATATTATAATGTAATCACATATAGTTCTTTCATTTACTGCTATGCGTCGCAAGCTGAGCTATCTAACTCGCATTAAGTTTTAGTCACGAGAATTATATAAAGCATTTAAAAAGTAGCTATTATAATCAACAATTTTTCATTAGTTTAATTTTTTTGATACAATTTCAACACAGAGAACTTAAATATTAAATTGATTGTTCAGAAATCGGACAAATGTCTGAATAAATAAAGGAAATAGAAAATCAGAAATATTCTGCAATATTTATATAAATTACGTAATGTGGTTGTAGAAAATCATAACTTTTTACGTAAATTTATAAAAAACTACAAATATAGTATGGCCCAAATCGCGTAGATTTGACGTAAAAACCACGTTGAAATAATTCAAAAACTTCTAATTATATAATTAAAAAATCGTAGTTTTCACATAATTTCGCGTGAAAAATTGTAAAATTATTTTCACCAGGGAGGTTTTAATATAAAGTCAGAACTCCTGTTATTCGAATCCGCGTCCTCATATATCCATCGCCTTCAAGCACCGAAGAGTGCACCGATAGGCAACTCTCCCACCAACAACCTCTGAGAACTCTTTCGTCTATGTCGCGCGCCTTGCCGTCCTGATGTAGACCATTTTCTTCAACATCTGTGAACCCTATCGTCTATGTCGCACGCCTTGTCGCCCTGATGTAAATCATTTTCCTCAACCTCTGAGAACCCCATCGTCTATGTAGCGCGCCTTGCCGCCCTGATGTAAATCATTTTTCTCAACCTCTGAGAACCTCATCGTCTATGTTGCGCGCCTTGCAGCCCTGATGTAGATCATTTTCCTCAACCTTCTTCTACCTAATAAAACGATACCAGGAGATCAATAATTTAACAAATGTTATTTTGAAAAATTCCTTAGTTAATCGAACGTGGTTTAATTAACGCAATCTCCCTCAATATATATCTTCCTCGTTAGTATCCTTATATTAAATTAACAATCATTTTCCTACTATTCCATAACGTATTATATATAAAAACGTTAAAACAAAAGATCGCACGTCGGAATAAACGTAATCACAGAGCGGGAAAAAAAGTTTGTGCTAACCGCGCAGCGTCTACTCTACATTAGCTCAGGTGACGGTCACCAGACAATAAACCTCGCATCAAATCGTGTGAAATAGTTGCCTTTTCTCCAGAGGCTATAAAAAGGTTAAAGACTTTATCTAGTCAACCAGATTTTGACAATAAACTTGTCGCAGACAAAGAAATTCTCCTTGACACGGAGATCAAGCCTTCGATCAACGAACTTCCTATTTTCTTTGAATCCTTGATCAACGAACCACCAAGTTTAATTGATCCCTCGATAGAAGAAGCACTTAATTATTTTAATCTCAGAACTGACTTCCCCAAGTTATCACCAATCTTAGACAAAGGAATTCCCCCTGACACAGGAATAGAACCCTCATTAGCCTACTAACCCTAATTAGCGAACCACCTAGTTCTTTTGAATCCCCGATTAACGAACCATCTAATTCAGGAATTGATTTTTCTGAACGATTACTAATTGCAGAATTGTGCGATATAATGTTAAAAACAGAAGAAAATACTTCCCAGAAACAATTCTATTCTAAAGATTTAATACAGTTATTAAAAGATCAGTGTCCGGATCAATTATTTGAAATCGATTAGTACGCTAATTATCTGAATCTTTAAGTCATTTTCCCAATGTCACCAGTACGTACAAATGATAAAACCCAGAAATTAATTAACAAAGAAATTCATACGATAATAAGTATAATTATCGCCTCACTAACAGACGTTTTAGAGAAAAATATCGATTTAGATCAATTTCTCGTCTGTTTAGATAACATTCCAGATCCATCAAACGCGATAAACGCGAGATTTGTTGGAAACCTATAATTCGTGTAATCTAAAGGCCATTCTACAAAACTATAATTAACCATTCAAAGATTTAATTCATATTCTTAGCAAATAACCAACAGCAATTGTTAGCGTTTTATTTTTATACATTGCTTGAGCATCCTTGGTTATCTGGGATACAACGAAATAGTCATATAGCCAACCCAGACAACGCACCATGTTTAAAATTGGCGCATAAGACATCTTTAAGATGTCTTTAAGATGTCTTTTATATATTTGTATTTTTAATTATTACATGTATGTAATAATGTTTGCAAACAATCGCTTTGAAGACAAATCAGAATTGTCGACAAAACGATGTAACAAAATTTAATAATCAGGATTGTAGACATAAAATATACATGTTTTTTTTTAAATAATTTTCACTGATAATGTACGCTCCTTTAGGTAGCACATATATTTGTTTCAGAAACATTTTATAAATGTTTCTTCGAATTGTTTCATAACCGATTCTCGAAAACGCTTTTAATTAATTAAAAATGTCCACTTGGAAACCTTTTAAGGGAAACGTTTATTTTCGAGTTTAAGAAACGGTCACAATATCATTATTTACCGTTTTATACTTTATTTATGAAAAAGTTTGCAATAATAGATGTGTCCGCACCTAAATCACATTGTGTAATAATTTTTGCAATGTTGATATATTTTCTGCAACGTTAATATAACATTTATAAAATATTGTAGAATATTTTTTCTTTTTTCTTTTCTGTATTTATATGGATTTCTTCATTTATTCGCTCATTTTTTGAACATATATAATCAGTTTTAATATTAATTAAGATATTAAATTTGTGGCGATAAATGCCACAAGAATATTAAAATATATATAAAATAAAATGTACACGAAATAAAAAATATATGACAAGCGACGAGTGTTAAGGATATCGCGACCGGTGACACAAAATAATAAATAAATAAATAAGCGTCTAGCATGACGAAGGTAGATTGTGATTTCCGAACAGAATAAAAAGCGAAAGTTCGTCAAAATAATACATAGGCTAATCACCTAAAAATAAAAATAAGGTCGTGGAAAAATCGAGAGAAGCAAGACAATACGCGGCCTCGAAGGGCAGATAGATTTTGACTCGCGCTCGCGATACACGGTTTTCCTCGGTGGAGAGTTAAAGTCTGTATTTGATAATCCGAATAAACGCAGTAAAAGACAATATAATTCTAATACCTAATAACTATTCCGTCTTCACGATCCTCTCCCGATTCGCGATATTGATAGAACAATAATTATCGAGCTAAGCAACACGCTCGCCCAAAAATTAATTAAGATATTTTAATTAATAACCCAATAATTATTGCGAAAATCGTAAAATGGTATAAGATTTTTCTGCTCAGTTTACTGTGCCCTACCTGCGCTCACGAGCGTTGGTACAAGTGCTCTGGGACATCCTGTATACATATAAATATATTATGTACATACATAATACATATACACATATATTATATTATTAAAGTATAGATTATATTAAGATATAATAAATATATTGTCAAAAAAATAAATTATAAGATAAATTTAGTATAATATTTTATAATTCCTTAATATAAAATTGAAAGATTATTGTAATTTGTGTGTGTGTGTGTGTGTGTGTGAATAATCAACTGTTTTTTTCAAAATAAATATAATTTATTGTTACTATTTTCAGAAAAATTTAAATTAAGATTATAAATACAAATTAAAGATTTAAATATGTTCACGAACGCGCTGAGTGAAAGAAGATCGCGCGACAAAAAGCTAAGTCCTCTTGTATAAAAAAAAAGAGTTTAATTTTATAACATACATTGATTGACAAAATACACTTGCACAAACTTAATACAGACGTTAATTACTTTCAGAAATACTTAATCAAAATCAGAGAAAGAATTAAGCGGCGGTCGTCAACGAATTTGCGGTTTTAACTATTAAGCGGATTTGCGATATGCGGTTCACAGCGGAAAAGCGATAAGGCTGTCAATCCGGGTGTGAGCTCCCCCTTTATAGTTTCCCGGACGGAGCCCACCCTCGCGTGAAGCGCCAATAATTTTGAGTAATTTCAATATTGCGCTAGGTGACCTGAGCGCATTACTCATAATTGGCCGCTGTGATAATTGACGCAAAGAAGGCCCGAAGAGAGCATGCGCGAGCGGGCGATCGCGGTAATCATTGGTGATTCGAGGAGCCCGTGATAAGCCGCGCATGCTTGTTACAGTACAAGTATTCGGCGGAACGGTTGCGATACCGTTAATTGTTTACATTTTGATAGTTTTTGTTGGTGACAGGTTTATGACTCGTTGATTTATGACGAGTTTTTTTTTGAAAAACATAGAAAAACGACGTGAACATTTGATATGGATTTAATATCGACTTGTCTAGAATATGCTGGAATATTCTATTCGCGTTTTGAACAAAATATTTTGAATTTGTTCTTGTATTTTAATCTTTGATAATAGTAATTTAAAATGTTAAAATGCTGTTATTAAAAATATTTATGATAAAGACTTTGTATATTAATATAGATAAAAATAATTTATTTTGTAAATTGCTTTTTAATAAATTTTATTTTTTATTTATCTCTTACTTAAAATAACTTTTATCTATACTATTATTCAGTCTTTATTATAATTAAAGGCTTTATCATAATTAAAGTCTTTATCATAATTAAAGTTTTTATCATAATAACTATAAATAACACTATTATCTTTAATGATAGAAAATTATCATGTATATGGATAACAAAAATTTTCAATATATGGTATGTATATTTGAAATAAACGAGTTATAAAAGCCAAACAATGTTTATAACAAAAATTTATTTTTTATCATGACATTATAATTGTGTTCAGAACACATTTGCTTGGTACGTTGCTAAAACTTTTATCTTGGGATTAATCTCAATTCGAGATTTTTACCCCTCCAAGGTCCGTAAATGAACGATGGGAGGGGAAGTGTCGGATTCATATTTCAGCATTTGAGCCCCAAAATGGCGTCGCCAATCCAGCCACTGGACAACTGTTCAACTACAGTTTTTTTTTCACTAACACTTTGTACGACACACATCGACATGCAACATACATAACTTCGTGGTCCCAAAATGGCAGCTCATTCGAGGACTTTTCTTTCCTTCCCATCGTTCATCTACAGACCTTGTTTCCCTCTAATCCCCGCTTCCCTAAAGAGATGTAGTCGAGAAAAATATCGGTCCAAAGTCGCTGAATCAGGAATCGATCATCGGAACTCTTTTTGCCGCTTGCCGGGCAACTGCTTTTATTACTGATTGTGAATTATTTAGATGATTAAGATTTCTAATCAATTCAGCATCAAGGTGATTGCGTTACTTATAACTAAAGAGTAACTTGGGCAAAGAGAAGTTTTGAGTGACGAGTTAAACATATTGTTTACATATTGAATTGTTCCAAGAAAAGTATTCCATTTTTGGGATTCCATAACCAGTTTCTTTAAATAGAATTTAAGAAATTATTGATTCTCTCAACAATTCAATTTGCCTATGGGGCAACCGCAACCTGATGTGTTTTACATTTCGTAAGTGAAGAAATCAGCTAATTCCTGCAAGGTATAAGTAATACCCTTAAAATTTAGGGATTTTAAAGGAAAGAAACAATAAAGATCAATATTTTATCGTGATTTTTTAATTAGTACATTTTAGCGCAAAAAGTCAGGTAAAACGTGTAAAGCATCTATCACAATTAATATAGATGTTTTAAGCCATTGGACGTTTATTTAAGAGGATCAAAATGGTCAGTATACAAAATTAAAGAAAGAACTGTGGAATAATCAGCAATTTTCGAGTTTACCGAAGAATTCATTAAATATATTAAATAATTATTACTATAATAAAAAATTTTCTTATACATAGAAGGAAACCAATCGTATTGATTCTCTGAATAGTCTTTTCAATGTTACAATGGGCCATATCATCATGATATGCACAAAATCATGTTAAAAATTATTAATTTCGGAATAATAAAATAAAGGTATATCAGCGCATTTCCTGTAGAGTAGATCTATTAATTCGTCTTTCCATGATCATTGAATTCTAAATCTTCTGCAATGGATTTAAGCCTTGGATCTTGTAATTGTTTACAATTTCACTAACAATAAGTGCATCAACATGAGACATTCGATGCTCTTCACGGTGAATGACTATAATTTTGTACACACAGGGTTTATCTATAGATTTTAAAATTAAGATGTGCCTTATTTAAAACATAGACCAAAACATGACAGTTAATTATATAACTGTAAAATTAAAAATTTAAATATAGGAAATATGAAATCGTTTAATTGATTTAATCATTGCTAACATCTCAAGTTCAAAACTGTATAGTAGATTGATCTTAGCCATATATTAATATTGTTTAGCTAAAATAAACGACTAAAGCCCAACCAGCTGAATTTTTGTAAAATAGTAGTTAAAATTAATGAACTTCAGTATGATGCCTTGTCTCAGAATGCGAATTATATAACTATAAAATTGAAAATAATGTTAATAACTTTTTTAATAACTTGAAAATACGTTACAAGCATCATCAAAATTAAAATTAACCGATTTCTGTAAAAAAATTTCAAAAATCTTGCTTTAGAAGCAAAAATTATTCTTAAGTAGCAAACTGACGTCATTTTGACGTCAAAATGATGTATGCTTGCTGCCTAGGCTGTATCAATTTGCGAAATAAAGAAATTCGCCAATCCCAAGAACGGCTGAACCTCTAAAATTTTCTTAGATTTAGAAAAAATTTTCACCGCTCCCAGTCGACTTTCAATAGATATAAAAGATTTAAAACAACTATATATTTCTGACAGATCAGAAATGTATAGTTGTTGTGATGTCGATTTTTGATATTCTGAAAATCTGCTTGGCTCTTTAGCTAAAAATGTTCATAATATTGCAAATAATATTTTAGTGCTCAATGAAAAATAGTATTATAGTGTGTTTTGAAAAGGTTTCGACATCAGGTACAAAAATATGTAATAATAAAATAGAGGATTCTATTTAAAATTTTCATGTTGACCGGGCTTATAAAGGTTATTTCAAGATAAAACAGATAACCAAATAGTCACCAAATAGTTTTTTAAGCCCTACTCTTTTTGTTTGAAACACTTTTTTTATTAAAGAAGCATTTTCTGAGATATTTTGCCGTTCCGGAACTTTTGCCCCTTCCTGATGAGAATCATCACTTATAATATATACACGCAAATGCTTACATAAATATATACAAAAAATATATAATATATTTAAAAATGTCAAAAATTAACAAAGTTAATACATAAACAAAGAATAGATTCACATAAATTTATAACTTTCATCAATGTTTATATTAAATCAAATGATATCGTTAAAAACATGTAAATACTCAAACTTTATTTGTTAATTATTTTTAATCAATAATAAATAATGATCAAAATCTTTTAAAAATTATTCAAGATTATGACTTGGATAATATGTTAATATAAAAGCAATTTGAAGAAGGCATGCTGATGTTTTATTAAATTTTTATACACATTTAAAATTTAATATAGCTCAAATAATTATATAATATATCAATATAGAAAAGTTATTATTGAAAAACACTTTTGTACGTATAATTTTTTATGTAATTTTTTATCCTACGTTTTATTTATTTTTTAAAATTATTCTTTGCATTATATATATTAATTTTTTAATAATTAAATTAAATTCACCAACATATGTTCATCGACGTTTGTATAAAATATTATTAGCATTATAATTGTTGTAGAATAATTTAGTGTTTTTAGGTATTACGCATGTAGAAATAAGAACAGAACGTAACAGATAAACTTTTTGTATTTTTAAAGACATATTAGAAATAAGTATCGGCACGTTATCAGTATTATGTGCATAATAAGAGGACGAAGTTCTGCGAAACAATTGCATTTTCATGCATTTTGTTAAGGAAACAGGAAGGACTTGACGCAATACATATACGTTACAAGTTACTTGTTTGATTATTTATGAAAGTTATTTATTATCACAACATACAACCGCGTAAATAATGGCATTTTGTTGGAAATTTGATAGAAATATGGAAGGTATGTGAAAATTCAAAATAATGTTAATTTTTTATCTTATGATTTTTACTGTATTGCATAAGCTAGAGTTGACTGTTTAACTTTTACATTGAGACAACTAGCGTTTGCTACAAAGGTGTCTTGTTTTCTGTTCTACATTTGTAATTTAATCGAGCTTAATATATATATATATATATATATATATATATATGGTATATACAGTGTGGTGGTGGTATCTCATTTTAAAATCCATAAAATATCTCAGAAACTTTATCTTAAAAAATGTTTCAAGTAAAAGTTTTATTTAGTGTTGAGAGATTTATCTGAACACTTCTATCAAAGTCTAGAGAATTACTTCAAGATCAACTTTATTATTTTTTAATAAAACCACCATATTTTTATATAAATCAATTCCTCGAAATATTTTGCATAAAATGTTATAAAGGTAGAATGGTCAAAAAATTTTTTACAAGATATTTTATATTTTAATACAATAGGAAAAGGCTTTTACACGAGCAAATATGGATGAAGAAAAATTACTGTATTTAAATATAAAATTTACAAAATTCGTGCAAGACGTTTCGTCACTTACTTGTGACTTCTCAATCGCAAAGTTCAATACAATTACATATAATAACAGTTTAAAGATTTCATCTTAAAGCTATAGTTGTCTTGTTAGCATTATAAAATATACTAATATGTCCATGTTCTTCGTATTAATTTTGGTGCTCAGAAATAATTAATGTTCGATCTATGTTAACAATAGCGTACAATTAAACTTTTATACGGAATTTAATAGATATAAATAATATTAGTTAAATTGCAAACACCTACATATTTTTATTTTTCGCCTCGATCTCCATTATCGTGTTATTCTTTATCGATTTTTAGGCTGAATATATCCAGAATCTCTCTCAAGAGCTTTATATATTATTTAGAAAAAAGTGAAATTTATTTATATTTTGTTTATTTTGTCTAAAATCGGGAAATATGCCTTGTCCAATAAATCAATATCATCTATAAAGTTTAAACTGTTTTTTTTGTTGTTTAATGTGTATTGTTTCTGATAATTAACCTTTTGTAATAATTGCTTTCACAATCTAAAATTCTAACGTCATTCCAATCCATATTATGATTCATGTCAATAATATGTCTAGAAACTACGCTCAAACTCGACTGTTTTATATTTATTTTATGTTCATTAATTCTTGTATTAAATTTGCGTTTAGGTTGACCGACATATGAAGCGTCGCAATTCTTACACATTATTTTATAAATAATGTTGTTTTTTGAAATGTGATCAGTGGAATCTTTATGCAGTTTGATAAACCTATCCAATCTATTAAGACAAGCATACCCAGGTGTATAATCTGTATTTTTGAATGATTTTTGAATGTGTTGAGAGAGACATTTTACATATGGGAAACCTATGAACCTTCTCTGTGACTCTCGTGTCAAATTAGGATGTGTATTATAGTTGCAATCATTGGATATATCATATATCATTTTTTTGATCCTTATATTGATATGTTTGAATATAAATTCCAATGGGTACCCATTGTTCAACAATAGTTCAATACAAATTGTTATGTTTTTATTATAATAAAGGGGATCCGACAAAAGTAATGCTCTATCTGTTAAACTGAAAATTGTGCCTATTTTATTGATGGTTTGAATAAAAAGAGAGGTATCTACCTGAGAACGTGCTCTTGTGATACCAGTCGGTGATAATTCTATTGTTACTTCTGATTAGTTTTAAATCTAAGAAACTGATACTATTATTTTTTTCCATTTCTATGGTAAATTTAATTCTATTATGGAATGAGTTAAAAAATTTTAAATTGCTATTATTTCGCTGTGTTTGGCCGCGCATATAATGTCGTCTACATATCTATGGTAAAACAGTATATTATTCTTGATTCTATGTAAAACTTTATTTTCAATGTCTTGAAGAACTATATCAGATATTATTGGGGACAACGGTGAACCCATGGGTGTGCCAAATGTCTGTTTGTAAATTTTGTTATTAAATTTAAAATAACTTGAATTTAATATAAATTGTATCATGTTTATGAACTTTTTTTGTGGAATATTTGTTTCTTTTTTTATGTAAGACCATCTGTTGTTTAATCCAACGATTGCTAAATCTATAAGTGTGTTTGTGAACAATGACACAACATCAAACGAACACAGAGAAAATTCATTGTCAATGCTGAATGGATTAGAATGACGTTAAAATTTTAGATTGTGAAAGTAATTATTACAAAAGGTTAATATCAGAAACAATACACATTAAACAACAAGAAAACAGTTTAAATCTTATAGATGATATTGATTTATTGGACAAGGCATATTTCCCGATTTTAGACAAAATAAACAAAATATAAATAAATTTCACTTTTTTCTAAATAATATATAAAGCTCTTGAGAGAGATTCTGGATATATTCAGCCTAAAAGTCGATAGAGAATAACACACGATAATGGAGATTGAGGCAAAAAATAAAAATATATGTAAGTATTTGCAATTTTACTAATATTATTTATATCTATTAAATTCCGTATAAAAGTTTAATTGTACGTTTTGTTAACATAGATCAAACATTAATTATTTCTGAGCGCCGAAATTAATACAGAGAACATAGACATATTAATTAGTATATTTTATAATGCTAACAAGAAAACTATAGCTTTAAGATGAAATCTTTAAACCGTTATTATATGTAATTGTATTGAACTTTGCGATTGAGAAGTCACAAGTAAGTGACGAAACGTCTTGCACAAATTTTGTAAATTTTATATTTAAATACAGTAATTTTTCTTAGTCATCCATATTTGCTCCTGTAAAAGCTTTTTCCTATTGTATTAATTTTCATTAGATACGAGCTTGATTATCACATTGTTTAATTTTATATTTTAATTTGACATAATCTTACATAAACTAATGATTTTACTTTATTAGTACTTTTATGCACAAAATAATGAGAAGAATCAATTGATATAAGGAAACAGATATTTTTTTAATGGCTGCTATATGCAAATTACATTTTTTTTCTTAAAACGTTATATTTTCCTTATATCAATTTGTTTCTTATAGAATTTGTGTTTCGGTGAAATTAGCTGAAATTTTGCAAACATTTTGTTGAAGTAATGCAAATTAAAAATCAACATAGGCAGAACCCCAAAAATCAACCTTTTGAATTTTTTGAGTCGTTCTTATACAAGAGAACATTCGGAAGTGACCTTTACTTATTTTAATGAACTTGGAATATGCTTAGAAAACTTGACTTCAACGTAACTAGCAAATTTTATTTAATTATTTCACGACGTTTCGACCATTTGGTTGTGGTCCTTTTCAAGTGAAATTTCCATCAATTAAACCGAGGTTAACGTAACATCACACTGGTGTTATTTAAAATCGAAAGTTAAAAGTTAAAAGAGGAACACGTCCCATCGTTATGATGTTTCGTCAACGACTCAAATGGTCGAAACGTACGTCGTGAAATAATTAAATAAAATTTGCTAGTTACGTCGAAGTCAAGTTTTCTAAGCTTATTTTCACCACTAGCGATCAATATTAATTTTGATTAATATTAATTTTAATTGATCGAACTTGTAATATGTTTTAGAGTATTAAAAAATATTAAAATATTAAAAATATTTTTTTAGCTACGTATCTTGACATTTAGGAGGTAAACTATCTCCTTGAAAAAATTTGTTTTTCTTCTGATCTAATACCGTCGAAACGCTCAAAGATATAAAAATGTTTCAAATAAAAGTTTTAGTTTTTAATGTTCTTTAAAACAGTGTAATAAAATTTTTCAAAAATGTCAAATTTTTTTGACATTCCCTGCTTTCTCCATAATTTGGAGATTGCACTGTTTCAAAGAACATTAAAAACCATAAAATTTTTATTTAATAGTATATTGTGTATCAAGTGCGGAAAGTTGACATGTGGTCATTAGTGCGGGGAATGGACGCACGAGCCGAAGGCGAGTGCGACCACCCACACGAGTGAACAATTGTCAATCCGCACTTGATACACACGATATTTTGTATTACAAGTGCAGGCAAAGTGGCTTTGTGCGCGTTTTCTGTGCGCGAGGTAGCCGATCGTACGCCGCCATCTTACGACGGCACGGTGCAGGAATAGCCGCGTTCAAAGTCATTGTCCACGGCTTTAGCCTTTTGACCTTTGACGGCTAAAGCCGTGGACAATGACTTTGAACGCGGCTCAGCCGTAGGCAATGGCTTTGAATGCGGCTTATTCACTCACCGCGTCGCCGTTAGATGGCGGCGTAGGAAATCGGCCGCTTTCCGCACAGAAAACACGCACACAAAGTGCCACTTTGCCTGCACGTGTAATACAAAATATTTTTTATATCTTTAACAGTATTGACGGTCAGGCGCGGATTTACGTATTTTGCCGCTTGGGGCTAAAAAGTAGCTGCCGCCCCTTGTATATGGTAGTGAAAAGTAGAATTTTTATAAGAAATACATAACGCGATCTGAACATGATAATGATTTCTAAGTGTAACAATTTTTAACAAGCCTAACGTCCGTGTAAAATAAATCCGAAATGTAACAGCTTTTAATCTAATGTAACTTGTCAACTTGTATAATATTGCAAAAAACCTACGTGCATTAGCTGGTATTATAATTATTTATTATATGAAATGAAATTATTAAATACCACTCAGAGTGTGCCACGAAAAGGCTGCACGATAGAACTTCACACTCCGGTTTTTTGTTTTTTTTTTGTTTTTTAATTTTTTTATTTTTTAAAGTTTATTTTTAAGCCACAATCTCCACTTGATTCCTCTCGACCAATAGAGCCAAACGCGATGTTATTGTCAATAACATCGCGTTTGGCTCTATTGGTCGAGAGGAATCAAGTGGAAATTGTGGCTTTAAATTAAAAGAGCTGACTAAATAAGTATTCGCATTATTTATTTTTTAATTTTTTTATTTTTTAAAGTTTATTTTTTAATTTTTTTATTTTTTAAGTTTTATAATTTTTATAAGTTTTATAATATTTACTTTTATTATAGTTTAATTTTAATTGAGCTGTTGATTTTGACTATAAATACTTGTTAAATGAAAGTCCTTTAAATTGTGAATTACTTCTTTAATTTATTACCTTATTTTATTATCTTTCTACGCGACTGAGTATCAGCAAATGAATCAATTATATCATCATAATTTATACGTTTTGCGATTTCTGACTCAATTGTAAGACAATCCCGATATTTTATTTTTGAAGGCGGATAAAGGTAACATCACGGTTGCGATGAACAGAGATATGTACATGGACAAAATGTGTGATTTGCTGGCTGACCGGGATACTTATACTGTTGTTAAAAAAGATCCGACTAGGAACCTAATTAATCAATTACACGAAATTTTAATGAGATGGAAAATGAAGAATTACATTTCTTCAACAACATATAAATCCCTGAACTGCACGGACGGGGTTCTACCGAGAGCGTATGGTCTGCCGAAGGTGCATAAACCGAATTGCCCTTTACGTGTCATCGTGTCATCTAGGAATACACCTCTTTATTACTTGGCAAAATTTTTACATAAGATAATATATAAGGCAATTCCGAAACCTGATTCGGCTATTTCTGATAGTTTCCAATTAGTGAACAAATTAAATGGTTTATGTGTGGATAGTGATGTGAAGCTAGTTTCACTAGATGTTGCATCATTGTTCACCAATGTACCATTGGATATGGCTATTGATAGTTTAATTAACAGATGGGGGTATATTGAAAAAGAGTGTATTATTCCACGAGATGAATTTTTATTGGCAATTCGTTTTATTATGAATTCGACTTATTTTATGTTTAATAATGTATGTTATCAACAGACTTTTGGCACGCCTATGGGTTCCCCCCTCTCACCGATCATTGCGGATATCACGTTGCAAGATTTGGAGAGTAGAGCGATTGCTGCGATTCCAATGTCATTTCCATTTTATTTTAGATATGTTGACGATATCGCGTTGGCGGCCCCACCCTCCATGCTTAAAATTGTTTTAAACACTTTCAATTCTTTCCATCCTAGATTGCAGTTCACCATGGAGGAGGGGGTTGACAACCGATTGAATTTTTTAGACGTCACCATTATTATAAATAATGGGAGCATTGAGTTTGATTTGTTTCATAAGCCGACGTATTCAGGCAGATATTTAAATTTTGAATCGCAGCATCCTCTCTGTCATAAAAAAGGCACCATTATCAGCCTCATTGATAGAGTTTTTTGGCTATCTCATCCGAAATTCCATAAAGGTAACTTTGAGTCTATGATTGGAGTTCTTTTGTCTAATAATTATCCTCTCAATTTGATATTTCAAACATTACAAGCGCGGTTAAAAAAGTTGTTCTTCCGCTACAATAATAAGTTGCATAACAATAGAGCAAATATATGCAATGACAAGATCCTTACGCAGAAAAAAGTTTCGTACTTTAATATTCCGTATATTAATAATGTATCGAAGAGAATTGAGGACATTACACGTGATTTGGATGTCATTCCATCCTATACAGCAATTAACAGTCTCCGTAAATTCATTAAAGTACACAAGGATAAGTTACCAAGGGAACTCCATAACAATGTAGTTTATAAAATTGATTGTATGGATTGTGATGCGTCGTACGTAGGGCAGACGGGTAGATTGTTGAAAACTAGGATGAAAGAACATCGCAACAACATAAAAAGAAACGCGTCACAATTATCAGTCATATCGGAACATAGATTATTGAACCATGAATTTAATTGGGAGGATGTAAAAGTTTTAGACGAGGAGCCTTTTTTAGGTAAACGTTTGATATCCGAAATGATCCACATAAAACGGCAGAGGAATAGTTTAAATTTACATAGCGACACTGATAAATTAAACGAGAATTTTGATCTGTTAATAGAAAAATTTACCAAAATCTAGCTTTGTGATTATACATAGCCCGGTTTTTTTATTAGACCTTTGACATGAGTGCCGATAAGTTTTAGTTGTTTTTATTTTTATTTTCATATTTTATTTTTATATTTGTTTTTTGCGTATATATGTATCGACTGGGTCGAGGTAGAATACCGCACAGTCGTTAGAGTGATGTGTCACGTGTAGCATCGTCTTCTCTCTGTTTTTACTGTCGGGGTGAGTGTACTTCCCGGTTTTTAATTTTTAATTTTTGTGGATTTTTCTACGTTTAATCTATACTATGTTGATTAGTGTTGGTAAGGGAGTCACTGCTCTGCTTCCTTCCTGACGATGGTCACCGTTAGGGAGACGCTCCGACGGCCGGACGGTTTGAATAGGGAGGAGAATGATATTTAATTTATTTGCGGATTGTATGTATATGAGTTTTATAATTTTCTGTTTGTACCGATTATCTTTTATTTTTGTTTCTTTGTATTTTGCAGCTACTGAAGAAGACCCGAAGTGGGTCGAAACGTTTAGAATTTAATAAATGAGTTTGATTTGAGATCTCATTTTAATTTATTAATTTTGTGCATGTCGTCCGCACAGGCTCCGATTGCCGTTGAGATTTTATTTTTATTGTAACACAATAATTCGAGCCGAGATTAACTGTTTTTATATTCAATTGTAAGAACTGCTGAATAGTTGAGGCGTTCATCACACATCGTAGATCGGAGATAATTTTTGACGCGCCGTAGTACTGAGAAAGATCTTTCTGCTGAACAGTTCGTTACAGGTATGCATAAGAAGATTCTAAGTACGATGTTAATATAAGGATACACTTCTTGGAGGCCTTTATCGTAAATCATTTTACAGATCTCTCGAATAGTGCTCGGAGGTTCATTTAAATTTTTTAAAAATCCAAAGAAATGAAGACACTCATTTTGAAATGATTCTGAATCTGGCAAGTCTTCTTTATATTCATTACTTAATCTGGCAGCATTTTTAGCAATAGTTTTATCATCCATTGTAATTCCATTAGTTAAAAAACCAAAACTCGTGCTCAACTTTTCATAGACTGCTTTTCGACGTTCTAACTCTGCAACTATTCTATCAACTATGACATAAAAAGTATTGATTTTAAAGTTTTCTCGTCCAATGAATTCGGTTTCAAAATTTTGTGATTCATCGTCTTGGAGTTTTCTTATCCTTTTTTTCTCGATATATCTTCATACTCTGTAATAAATGATTTTTTAAGAGCAGCATTTTCATAGGTATCAAAAGCTTCCCTAATACTTTCAACATAGTTTATTAGTGAACCGTATAGTTCTGCTACAGTATAAAGATCAATGTCAACTGCTTGGAGCTTCTTGCTAGAAAAATAAAATCTCTGTAATAAATTGTCCCATACTAAAGAAAGAATAGTTGTTTCAAGGCGTTGTAGTCGACGAAGGTTACCTGAAGCTTCACATCGAGTACAAGATTTTTCTGTTTCATTTTCCGCAATTGATGTAAGAGCTTCAATCACTTCATTCCAATCTTTATTAAGACTCTGACACGCGTCATAACGGACTGACCATCGTGTTTGTGACAAGCCTTTTAGAGTTTTGTTTTCACGTTGTGTTAAATGTCTCTGTAATATTTCCCAGCGATTAGTAGAACTTGAAAAAAATACATACAAATTTTGAAGAAGAAGAAAAAAATCATTACTTTCTTTACAACAACTTGCTGCATGTTCTCCAACTAAATTCAGGGAATGAGCTGAGCAGGGATATACAGCATTTGGAGAAATTTTGTTAATTCCAGCTTGTAATCCGGCATATTTTCCGGACATATTCGCGGCATTATCATATGATTGACCTCTACAATTTGCAATGTCGATATCAAAAGCCACAAGCACAGTGATAATAGTATCAAAAAGTTCGATTGATTTATGACCAGCATTCGGAACAAAACAGAGAAACCTCTCTACAGGATGTCCATTTTCCAGAACATATCTCACAATCACTGCAAGTTGATCGGTATGAGATATGTCTGGACTTAAATCTACTATAATGGAAAAATACTTGGCACTCTTTAATTCTTTAATTATTTGTTTTGTTACTTCTTCAGCCATTAACTTAACGAACTGTTCATATGTAGTAGAAGATAAATACGAAGTGTGGCCTTGACCTGGATTACCGTACTTAGCTATATGCTCTGCCAAAAAAGGATCGAATTCAGAAATAAGTTCAAGACACATTATAAAATTACCACTGCTTGACGAACCAAACTTCTCGATATGATCTCTTAAAGGTAACCTGAAGTTACCAAAGCACGGACAGTGGCTACAACCCGTTTTAAAACGTTGCGCCAGTACTTTTTCTCTGTATCTATTTGATAAGAAAAATGTGTGTCAATTTTTCCAAGAGTGTTTGATCTCATTTTCATTTCTAAAACACACGACTTGTGTTCAAAAGAATTCTCGTGATTTTTCAATGCATCATTACCATGCTTCCAGTCGTCAAATCCTTCTTTTGCTATTTTTGTAGTTCCACCAAATAATTGACAAGGAACACAAAAGACTGAACCAGAACTTTCTGAGTACATTAAATACGATCGCTTTACTATTTGGCCATTGACAAGTTGGGTTTTAAATAAAGATTCATTTAAATATTGCTTACCACAAAGTCTCTTTGAGCGAGAAAAATCAAAACTTTTATCATGAACATCTTGGTTAATTTCATGCTGCAAAACGTATTCACGTGTAGCATCGTTTATTACCCATAAAGCTGGATCCTTTACAATCACATTAGAATTAACTGCAAAATTATTACTTTGATTGATATTAATCATAAAAGACGAGGTAGTTGGCTCTGGGGACTTGGAGGTGAAATTAGAATTAGAGTCTATGTCACACGCTGTTGGTACAATTTCTTTTATATTATCTGAATCAGTAATGGGAACCAGCTGTTTTGACGAACCAGCAATGGGAATTGCTGGTTCTTCAAAGTTATTTAGTTGATTAACAACTTTAGGTTGATTAAAAAAATTATCAATTTTAAGAGTTTTCTCTATGACACTACGTTCTCTCTCAGCCTTATCCAACCTTCGTTTCTTGTACTGACTTCCACTTAACTGTTTTCGTCCGTCACTCATGTTTCTTATATAATATTATTAATATTTAAGAAAAAAATTGAAGACTGCGGTAGCAGTCTAATACAAATTATAAAAAAGAAGAAATTTTAAAAACAAAGTAAAAAAAGAAAAAAAACCGCGATTAATAATTCAAATATATATATATATATACTAATCAAGAAATTTATTTGATATTAAAATATGAAAGAACATAAAAATGAATATATTATACCGCACGCTAACTCTCACGTATCATTGCCGGTTGTCGGGCTCGGCCTCATATATGTAACAATCGAGTCTCATTTCTCTCGCAAGATAGGGTTTCGGTGGGCACGACACACCGCGGCGTACGGCTGAACCTCAGCCGCTGAAACGCGGTCCTGCGGCACGACGCGCCGCCGCGGCGCGTCGTGTCTCCATATTTTTTGCTGCCCCTATATTTTGCCGCCCTGGGCTATAGCCCATTAAGCCCCTATAGTAAATCCACGCCTGATTACGGGAGTGCAAATTGACGTTTATCTCTTGAAGAATTACATTGTCCGAAAATGTTCGCACGAAATTTTTCCAAATCCGGAATCCAAACACATCTAAAGGCTGAATGATGCCCGTCGTCTTTGGAATGGTGAAAAAGTGTACTTCTTTGTCTTGTGGAATCAACTGCTCTAACTGGCTCGGGCAGTGTCCCGTCCATGAGTCGAGTAGACCTCTATTAAGCTAGCAGAACCAAATCGGCAGAATTCATTGGGACATATCAGAATATTTAGTACCCAATTTGTACTAATTTGTACCATTAATAAAAAGGAGAATGTTAAAAAAGTGTCGATTTTCGACACTTACATGATTTTGAATTTCTAATCGCAAAAGAATCTGTACATATTGATTATGCGAAGTATTTAATATCAGTTAATCTCCGAAATAGTATCTTACTCAAAGTTTAATTATTGAATTATCTAGTTTTTTACAACATTTTATATATTATTTTCTCTAAAGACCAACTTTTACTAAAGTATATATTTAATACTAAAATATTAATTTTCTTATTCGTAAAACATTCGCATATTTTCTGCGAATACAAATACGAATGCGAATACTTTGAAATCAGAGGATATTCGCGAATGCGAATACGAATATTTGTAACATCACACACACACACACACACACACACACACGGCAGAGAGGGTTTTGAGTCTCTAAATACCGCAGAAGTGACGAACTGTGGACTCCTGATCTTTGCTAAGAGATGCTAGGCGGACTATATCTTCACGTGGTGCATTCTGGATAATGCTAAAGTAGTCCGTGATCTTTACATGCAAAGTACTCACAACTCTGACTAGAATCATGGTTTTCCAATTATTAACCGTTTATATATAAATATTATTTTTTACTACATTTAAGCTATTCTAGCAATGTTCCCACCATTCCTCGGACAAATAATTGTCATTTCTTCTTACCTGAGGATCCAAACAATGATTTTTCAACGTCTATTCATTTTGCACTTGAGGGCGAAAATCGACACTTTTTTAACACCCTCTTTTGTACTCCGTCCCATTTCCAAAAACACAGTGGCGCTGCCACCTTCAAATAAGCTAGCAGGACCATAATAAAAAAAAGATAAAATTAAAATCAATAGCAGAAATAGAAAGTACTGGAATTTGTACTAATTTGTACTATAAAAAAATGGAATATTTTCATTTATTCTGCAAAGAAATAACTAATTGATTTTAGCTATATTAAGCTTAAGAGTAAAGTATTCTTTTTATTAGTAGAATCAATCGTAACTTGTACATGTGACGCGGGATAATATACCCTCAAAATATGAAGTTTCAGATTTTATATCCCCGTCCTTCCTTTAAAAATTATCCCCAACCCTTACCAGTCTCAAGAGTAAAGTATCCTTTCCTATTAGCAGAATCAATCGCTGCTTGTAGATGCGACGTGGCATAATATGTACCATCAAAATAGCATTTTCATTTTCTGCAGATGTAATATACTCTACAACTTGTGCTCCATGTGGTTCTGATGGATCGACAAAATTAAGCATGTAATCATGTTTAAATATTAATATCGAACGTCTTGATAATTTTGTAGAATGTTGCGAATTTCATTATGCACTTCAATTTCAAAAGGTGTTATAAGTATTTGTCTTAAATTTATAATTTGAAACGTAGTCACTAAGTAACATGTTTATTACGTTTGCAACATTAGACGGCGTCATTTTAAAGAGAATTCTATCAAGCAATCTTCAATCGCAAACTTTTCAATAGAATGTTCATTGATTACAATGCAACTATTTATATAAATCAAAAGACGTAATTAAACATAAACTTATCAGTTTATTTTTTTCCGATAATTATTGACAAGGAAAGTCGTCGACAAAAATATCGATGATCAATATGACTCTGTGTCATTTTATGTTAAAAAATTGCAATGTCTTATTTATCATGCTGTTTGAAAAATTATCTAATAAAATAACGATTCCTATTATGTATATCCCACTAAAAAAGACATCACAGATGTAAAAAAAGAGCTCTAAGTTATATCTTTCTCCAGCAAAAATAGTTTTTTACAATAATCAAAAATATTATCTTCTCAAAAATTATGTTTATAGCAAAAATAATCTTTGCAACAATTAATCATCATCAAAAATATTTTCCCAAAAATTATATTTATAAATTATATTTTATTTTTATTAATAATACTAGAAAAAAATAAAAATATTAACATAAAAAATAGTGAAATAAAAAAAACAATAAAAATTCAATAATAGGCCAGTAAGAGCCCGCAACGCGGGTGGTAAAGGCGTAAGTAAAAACAATAAAAAGGTATAAATAAAAAATAAACTAAGACAAAAAAATTTATATTAAACGTTTCGATCCTTCCTTGGGATCATCTTCAGTAACTGTCAACACAAAAATAAAATATGTAACATAAAAAGTTTTTTAAACACATTACGCTATCAAAAATATCAGACTAAAAATAGATATAAATACAGAAATACGTACATAGGAAAACTTAGCAATTATATAACTCATAGTCATAGCAAAATCAGACATAATGGCGTGCGTCGCAAGACAAGCCTCTCATCGATTCCAGTCGTTGAAAGACGGAAGTAATGCATGGAAATGCTACCCATAGCAAAGCTATGAAAAAAAAAACACGTCCAAAACTTAAATAAATTGAGTAATATAACCCAATTAAAACGATAAGAAACTGAGACTCACCAATCCAACACACGCCAAAAGTCGAAGAACAACGCACGACCGTCACGTTCGAGAGTGTAAGTTAAACTAAATGTCAAAGAATAAGCTGACATACACGAATATCCCAAAAACAAAAATAATACAGAATTAAGCAAACACATCAATATGAGTAAAAATTAAACGGTCGGCATATTTTTCAAAATCGATATATAAGTAGAATGCAGATTTTCGGTATTCTCTTGCTTATTAAGGCCATTTTTTTGTCTCTTAATACTTTCAACTCATACTATCAGAGGTTACAACTTACACTATAGAAGGGAACAAACAATAGATTGAATTTTTTAGACGTGACCTTAATTTTAGATAATGGTTTTTTAATTTTTGACTGGTATCGCAAACCAACTTTTTCGGAAAGATTTTTAAATTATGTTTCTAATTACCCTCTCATTCACAAAAGAGGCATAATTTTTTGTTTGACTGATAGAGCTTTTCGTCTTTCTCATCCAAGATTCCACAAGGATAATCTCGAATTAATAATAGAGATTTTAATTGATAACGGCTACCCAACAGATTTGCTTGCGAATTCACACACGATATTACACTGATGTTACCTATATTAATTTGTAATAATTTTTTTGGTAGACAGAATAGGTCTTTATTTTTCCATTTTGTGAGTGAGCATAGAAGAATTGATAGAAAATTTGTTTGGCTTTTTAATAAACAAAAAAAGTTAATTATTAATAGCATACGTCCTATTGATTATTATTGCAATTTACGAATTGACCAACAAAGTTCATTACCACGTAGATCTTTGGGGATTAACGACAATTGTCTTAATAAACATTCTGTTTCTCCCACCTTCTCTTTCAATCCTATCTCTTTCACTCCTAATGACACATCTTTCTCTATTAATCTCTGTTCTGCTTCCTTTTCTACTTTCTCTTCTTCTCCTCTTCATATTCGAGATAATTGGTTTGAAAATCTATCTTCTATACATATCCCGCCTAAAGTTCAAGGCCTTTTACAACTTGGGGATAATTTTTGTTTGCCAGCTATTAATAAAGAAAATTTGATCGTTAAGTTTATTAAAAGCACGAAGTTTAGTTTGAATAAAATATCGGGTGAATTTCGTTCTCATGTTAAAGAAAGGGCTTCTGCTGTTATAAAAGACTTGGCTAATGATCCTTTCAACAAATCTTCCTTTGATAGAGAGCTTGTTGATTCTCTTTGTTTAACTAGGAGATTCATACGGGACAACCCAAATGTAATTTTTACAAGGGCGGACAAGGGGAATGCAACTGTTGCACTCGATAAGGCTGATTATCATAAAAAAATGTTAACTTTGCTTAATGACAATGAGACGTATGTTGTTGTTCAGAAGAATCCTATTAGAAAATTAATTAGTTGCCTCCACGAAGTTTTCGCAAGATGGAAAAATTGCGATTTTATATCTAATAAGACTTATAAAGCGCTTAATTGTACTGATGGTGTTTTGCCGAGGGCCTATGAACTTCCAAAAATACACAAGCCGGGCTGCCCATTGAAAATCATCGTTTCTTCCATTAACACTCCGTTATAATCTCTCGTTTTATTTTTACATAAAATTATTTTTGATTCTGTTCCGTTAGCGGATAGTTATATTGAAGACAGTTTCCAATTAGTAGATAAATATGGCGGAGTTTACATAGATAATCATTGAGAATTGATATCACTTGATGTTATTTCATTGTTTACCAATGTCCTTATTGAGCTGGCTATTGATAGTGTTTCCCACAGATGGGATTTGATAAATAATAATTGCTCTATACCACGTGACGAGTTCTTATTGGCAGTTCGGTTTGTGCTTTCTTCTACTTTTTTCACATTTGATGGTAAGATTTACCAACAAACTTTTGGCACACCCATGGGCTCTCCGTTGTCTCCGATAATAGCAGATCTGACCATGCGCGATTTAGAATGCTGGGCTATCAGAAATCTTCCGTTTTATTTACCGTTTTACGTTCGTTATGTAGATGATATTGCAACGGCTGTTCCTTCCTCTATGAAGACATCAGCATTAAATACATTCAACTCATACCATCAGAGGTTACAATTTACACTGGAGGAGGGAACAAATAATAGATTGAATTTTTTAGACGTGACCTTAATTTTAGAAAACGGTTTTTTAATTTTTGACTGATATCACAAACTTTCTTCGGGAAGATTTTTGAATTATGCTTCTAATCACCCTCTTATTCACAAAAGAGGCATAATTTTTTGTTTGACTGATAGAGCTTTTCGTCTTTTTCATCCAAGATTCCACAAGAATAATCTCGAATTAATAATAGAGATTTTAATTGATAACGGCTACCCAACAGATTTTATTTTTAAAACAATTCATGATAGATTATGTTGTGTGAGTGCGCCCCTGGCGGCACGCATGGTGGGGACCGAACGATCGGGCCCGGCGACGAGTCAGTCGCGGCGCCAACAGCGGCAAGCCAAGTACGCACACGCACAATAATAGTGGTACAAACTAAGCTCGCCTTATTGCAAATCCTTATCATCACCCATACATGCTGTCAGAAGTGGGATCAGAAGGGGTTGAAAGCAAGTAAGGCATATACGATGACCGACAGCAAAGTTGATGTCAATGCAGCGGTACAGCCACCGAGCGAATTCGATTTTTCGAGACCAGAGCTGTGGCCCACATGGATCAAAAGGTTCGAGAGATACTTGTCGGTATCAAACTCATCAAAGAAGAGTAAGAAAGAAAAAATAGATTTGTTGTGCTACGTAATGGGAGAGAAGTCCGAAGAGATTTTTTCCCAAGTCGTGCCGGATTTGAGCGACGCCACGACGTATGAGACGGTGAAGAAAAAGTTCGACGAATACTTCACGGCTAGAGAAAACGTCGTGTTTGAGAGATTCAAATTCAATTCTCGAATTCAACAGCCCGAAGAGAGTGTGGACTCATTCATTACAGCATTATATACGCTGGCAGAATCCTGCGAGTTCGGGAATTTGAAAGACGAGCTTATACGCGATCGCATTATTATCGGAATTCGTGACTCACGAGCATCCGAGCGTCTACAATTAATATCGGACTTGACGATAAACAAAACCATCGAACTGGCGAGGCAAGCCGAAATACAGGCTAGAGAAGGCAAGAAGATTAGAGACGACGTGTCACAACAATCCCAAGTAAACAGAGTAGCCGAGAACAAAAGAAAAGGGAAAGGAAGCCGGCATTCGTGGAACGATAAGGCGGAGAGCGCGTCGTGTACAAGATGCGGCCTGCCGAAACATGCGAACTGGCAGAGATGCCCAGCGTCAAGCTCGAGATGTCGGAAATGCAGTAAGCTAGGACATTGGGAGAGTGTATGCAGATCAAAGGTCACCGATAAAGTCAATCGAGTCGAGGAAGCGGATGACACAGAAGAAGAGTCGAAGGAGACAATATTTCTAGGTGCGGTAAGCGATGTAAACGACTGTATAGGCGACTTTGTTTTTAAAGCACATGTCAACAAGCTCCGTGCCGACCTTCGCTTTATAGTAGACTCGGGCGCCGACGTGACGTGTATATCTCTCAAGGCCGTACCGGAATGGTATAGAAATAGAATACGTAGTAGCCGTAAGATAGTGCTAGGGACGGACGGCAAAAGATTATCCTTATTAGACTATATTGATGTAAACATAGTATGGAAAAAGCAAAGCGTAAAAGCGCGTATCTATGTATTAGAGATTCTAAAAAACTGCCTATTGGGCAAGCCGGAAATAAGAAGATTTGATCTCATAAAAGTTCTGAATAATCTAAGATTACAAAGCAATCAGGGCGTAAACGATTTTATAAAACGATACCCAAAAGTTTTTGATGGTATTGGTCAATTCGGCAGACCTTTAAAGATTCAACTTAAAGAGAACATAGTCCCATTTTTTCAGTCAGTATCACGAACGATAGCCCTGCCTCTGAGAGAAAAAGTCAAAGAAAAACTTGATCGATTAGTATCTAAAGGTATTATAACTCAGGTAGATTTCCCAACCGATTGGTGTAACCCAATAGTGGTGGTACCAAAAAAAAACAGCGCCAGCGTGCATATATGCGGAGACTACACCAAACTAAATAGTAGTGTAAAACAATCACATTTTCCGTTAGCAAAGGTGGATGTCGCTCTAGCAAGCCTTAAGGGTAGTAAATACTTCTTGAAATTAGATGCGGAAGCGGGTTTCTATCAAGTTTCTAAGCTCGACAAAGAAAGCAAAAAGTTGACTACGTTCATTACACCTTTCGGTCGTTTTATGTTCACTCGTTTACCTTTCAGAATAAACGGCGCACCTGATTATTTCTCTCAATGGTTCGCAGATTTGTTTGGTGATTTAAAAAATGTTATTGTACACGTAGACGACATTCTATTCATACGAAAGCAAAGGCCGAGCATAAAGAAATATTAGAAATTATCTTTTCCAGAATCGAGAAAGCCGGTTTGATTCTAAACAAAGAGAAATGTATTCTCGGCGTGGAAAAATTGAATTTTTGAGGCACATAGTTTCTGAATCAGGTATAAAAATACATCCGAAACGCATATCAGCTATCGTAGAATGTGCGCTCCTTCAAAAACAAACATACTCTTGTGCAGTTTTTGGGAGTAGTAAACTACGTGAGTAAATTTATTCCAAAAACATCAGACGTGTTAGAACTATTAAATTTATTTTTAAAAGACGATGCGCAATTCGTATGGACTGACGTGCAAGAACGCGCCTTTCAAAACATAAAAAAACTGATTACTCAAACTCTTGTGTTAGCATATTACAATATCAAAAAAAAAGTTATGGTTCAAGCGGACGCATCAAGTTACGGTTTAGGGGCGGTATTGATACAGGAAGACAAAGAAAAAAATCGCGAAATTGTTGTATACGCCTCAAAAACGCTTTCCGATTCTGAAAAGAATTTCAGCCAAATCGAAAAAGAATCCCTCGCGTTAGTTTTTGCGTGCGAGCATTTCAAAGATTATATATTAGGCTTAGACGTTTTTCTAGAAACGGATCACAAGCCGTTGCTTCAGATCCTGAAAACAAAAGCGCTCGACGATCTCACCCCGAGATTACAGAGAATGCATATGCGTTTAATGAGGTTTAACTACGAGATTTATTACGTACCAGGCAAACAGCTGGTTTTGGCCGACTGTCTATCAAGGGCCCCCCTCGAGGATAACAAAAGCGTTAAAGACGATTTCTCAGAGGAGATAGAAAACTATATCAGATTTATTGTAAACAATCTACCAGCATCCAAGAATATGTTAAATACAATTGAATCTGAACAAAAAAAAGATTATATTTGCAAAGCATTAATTGATTACTGCATACACGGATGGCCTGCTAAAAATAGATTGAAAGACGGATTACTTTCATATTTTGCATTCAAAGATAATATTTCTTATGCGGGAGGATATGTACTATATAACTCAAGGTTGATTATTCCTCTATCGTTGCAATTAGAAATACTCAACAGAATTCACAGCGGCCATTTGGGTATAAATAAATGCAGAGTAAAAGCGAATCAATCGGTATGGTAGATAGGGCTGAGTACCCAGCTAAAAAAACATTGTCGAATTTTGTCCTAAATGTGTGGAACACAGGTCGAATAACAAAGAACCTTTCGTTCAAGAAGACTTTCCGAGTAGACCATGGCAAAAAGTGGGCATAGATTTGTTCAAATGCGAAAAGTGGTATCTAATAATAACTGATTACTACAGCAGATTTTGTGAAATCCACGCCTTAAGTAGTTTGACTCCAAAAAAAGTCATTGGAAAATGCAAAGAAACATTTGCTCGGTTCGGTATACCGGAAATCGTGAGATCGGATTGTGGTAAGCAATTTGAAACAGAATTCCAAGAATTCGCTAAGAAATACAACTTTTCTCATGTAACCAGCTCGCCAAAATATCAGCAAAGCAACGGCGCAGCAGAGGCCGCGGTAAAAATAGCCAAAAATATAATAAAAAAATGCGACGATATAAATGAAGGATTACTTGTATATAGATCGACGCCGCTTGAACACGGATACAGCTCAGCGGAATTAATATTTTCCAGGAGAATACGTTGTAATTTACCGATGTTGCCCGCTAATCTAGAGACTTTCAAAAATCATAAAAAAATATTCGAGCTGAAAACTAAAAGTAAAGAAAAGCAGGCTGACGCGTATGACAAGTGACATCGATCCACCAAACTATCGAGCTTGAGTGTTGGCAATAAAGTATGGGTCATCGACTCACGAGTGTACAGCGAGATACGAGGGTCACTATTTATATTTCGGGAATAGGAACAGAAACAAATAGTTAAGCTGCGAATATATTTTTATTGTTTTTCAAAGTACTCGCCACGATGATCGATACACTTTTATATGCGCTTAAACCAATTTTCAAAGCATTTATTCCATTCCGAATGAGGTATCTCCAAAACATGATTTTTGAACGCTTCAATAGCTTCTTCGGGCGATGAAAATCGTTGACCACGCAGTTTATTCTTCACGGATGGGAACAAAAAGAAATCATTGGGTGCCAAATCAGGGCTGTACGGCGGATGACCCATCAATTCGATGTTTTGAGTGCTCAAATAGTCTCTTGTTTGAGCCGATGTGTGAAAGCTCGCATTGTCATGATGAAGAACAATCCGACGTCTCTTGTTTGTTTTCCTTATTTCACCGAAGATTTCTGGCAAACAGATGGTTGTGTACCACTCAGAATTTACTGTTCTACGATCCTCTAGAGGCACTGTTGCAATATGACCAGTTTTTCCGAAGAAACAGGCCACCATTTTCTTTGAAGTGCTTCGTGCGCGAACAACTTTTGTTGGATTTGGTTCATCTTGGAACACCCATACAGTCGACTGCTGCTTACTTTCGGGCTCATACGAATATATCCATGATTCGTCACCTGTCACGATTTTATAAACGTCTTTTGAAGCACCGCGATTGTATTTCTTAAGCATTTCTTTGCACCAATCGACACGAGCCTTTTTTTGAGCGATTGTCAAATTATGTGGGACCCAACGCGAACATAACTTTCGCACAGCTAAGTGTTCATGTAAAATCGCATATATGCTGGTGGAACTAATGCTTAGGGATGCCTCAATCTCACAATAGGTTACATGACGATCTTGCTTAATCATTTCGTGCACAGCATCGATGTTTTCTGGCACTGCAGTCGATTTTGGACGACCTTCACGAAACTCGTCAGACAGCGAACTACGACCACGATTGAATTCACTATACCAGCGATACACAATGGTTTTTGATGGAGCTTCATCGCCAAAAGTCAAATTAAGTTGATTGACGCACTCTTGTTGTGATAATCCACGTCGAAAGTCGTAAAAAATCATCGCACGAAAATGTTCACGATTCAGTTCCATTTTTTGCCGAGACGAAACTTTCAACTAAATATAAAATAAACAAATAGCGTCCGTATGACAAAATGTTCTGAGTACGTATATCGTCAAAAATGTCAAACTTTACGATGGAACCGTCAGATGGACTCACATGACATCAGTGTTGCCAATTCCCGAAATATAAATAGTGACCCTCGTAGTAAAGAAATTAAGTTCGCCTAATTCGTTCTTAGTGAAAACGGAAAAGAGTAGTAGGATAAAGCGTAACCGATGGCATTTAGTACCGGCTCCGTATAGAGGTAAGGAGGAGGAGAGAAGCAATAACGCACCTCTGAACTTCGATGTAAACGATGACGAAAATGTTAATGTTAATGTTACCGAACCTAGAGTAAGAAATCACGCCGGGAGCGACTATCGTCCTGAGGGCGAGCTCGGCCAGGACAGACCTAAAAGAACTTGCGGTCCACCTGCGTTCTACGGCAACGTTGTTACACACTAACCATGTATATGCTATGCTTCTAATAAAAGGAAAAGGATGTTGTTAGAGTGCGCCCCTCGCAGCACGCATGGTGGGGACCGAACGATCGGGCCCGGCGACGAGTCAGTCGTGGCGCCAACAGCGGCAAGCCAAGTACGCACACGCACAATAGTAGTGGTACAAACTAAGCTCGCCTTATTGGAAATCCTTATCACCACCCATACAGATTAAAATATTTATTTAATAAAAAAGAAGATATTATTAATGTAAATAATAAAAGTTTTTCGGATTTGACATCTGAAAATCAAATCTTGTTTTTTAATGTTCCATATGTCCGAAACTTAAAGATTTAGAAACACAATACGGGGCACAAATGTTAAACTTTCTTATACTGGTTTAAACAAATTAAAGCCATATATTAAAGTTCATAAAGATAAATTACCAAGATCCTCACACAATAATGTTGTTTACAAAATTTCGTATTCTGATTGTGACGCTTCTTATATCGGACAAACAAAAAGACTATTGTCTACTCGTGTTAAAGAGCATAAAAATCATATTAACAGAAATACTAACCAGACTTCTGTTATTACTGAGCATCGGTTACAGGGACATAATTTTGATTGGGATAATGTGGAAATCTTGGATGAGGAACCTTTTTTGCATAAAAGACTTGTGTCGGAGATGTTATTTATTAAGAGACAAAAAAATGGCCTTAATAAGCAGGAGGATACCGAAAATTTGCATGCTACTTATATATCGATTTTGAAAAATATGCCGACTGTTTAATTTTTTACTCATATTGATGTGTTTGCTTAATTCTGTATTATTTTTGTTTTTGGGATATTCGTGTATGTCTGCTTATTCTTTAACATTTAGTTTAACTTAGACTCTCGAACGTGACGGTCGTGCGTTGTTCTTCGACTTTTGGCGTGTGTTGGATTGGTGAGTCTCAGTTTCTTATCGTTCTAATTAGGTTATATTACTCAATTTATTTAAGTTTTGGACGTGTTTTTTTTTTCATAGCTTTGCTATGGGTAGCATTTCCACGCATTACTTCCGTCTTTCAACGACTGGAATCGATGAGAGGTTTGTCTTGCGACGCACGCCATTATGTCTGATTTTGCTATGACTTTATGAGTTATATAATTGCTAAGTTTTCCTATGTACGTATTTCTGTATTTATATCTATTTTTAGTCTGATATTTTTAATAGCGTCATGTGTTTAAAAAAACTTTTTATGTTACATACTTTATTTTTGTGTTGACAGTTACTGAAGATGATCCCAAGGAAGGATCGAAACGTTTAATATAAATTTTTTTGTTTTAGTTTATTTTTTATTTATACCTTTTTATTATTTTTACTGACGCCTTTACCACCCGCGTTGCGACTCTTACTGACCTATTATTGGATTTTTATTGTGTTTATTTTATCAGAGCCTTATATATTTTACTTCTTAGTTACTGAAATAAAAAATTGCGTTGAATAATTATATTAATAATACGAGAAAAAAGCTTAAAATATTAGCATAAAAAAGTAGTGAAATCAAAAAATTGCACTAAATAAATGACAATATAATATTGTATATAATATTTAGATGAATTTTTTATAATAATACAAATGTATAAATATTGCTTTATTTTAAAATGTTTATAATATATATAATAACAAAATAAATTCACTAAAATATATATTTTTATTTATTTCTTCTTAAATTTAAATAACATGAATAATTATGTAATTAATTAACTTAAACTTAAATGTATATATATTGTAAGATTATATATTTCTATAAAATATTTAGATAAATACGTATATATATATAATAAAGTAAATCATTTATCTCTAAATAATTATTTAATTCAAATATATTTAAACGTATTTTCACAAAAAAGGTAATATAAGGCACAAAAAATTTTTAGAAAATTAAAACATTTAAAGTTAAAAATTAAAAAACATTAAGATATATTCGGCCTCCTACATAAATACAATATATATATATATATATATATCGGCTTATTGGCTATACCGCGATGTTCTTTGTATCCACGAAAATTAATTTTTTTTTGTTGGTTTAGGAATAATATTCTTGGTTTGGATCTGTAATTCCTGCAATACACCCCTTTAATTTAATTTAAAAAAAAAATTAATTTTCGTGGACGCAAAGAACATCGCGGTATGGCCAATAAGCCGATATATATATATATATATATATGTATATATTCATACATTTCTTTATTTGCCCCCTTAGGGATTAAAAGCGCTTTTAAGGAGCGTACCCAAACCTTTACATTCCTCCTCTACTACCTTACAATTTCAAATCCATTTCCCCTGGCGCTTTTTTCTGTTAGGAGCGTTCCCGAACCTCTACGCTCCCTTTTTGGTCCCCTCACACCTTTCACCTCTTCCTCCTTTTTCCGTCTCTTTTCTCCTTGTTTCCAGTTCCTTTCCTTTCTCTTCTTCCATTTTCCTCTTTCTCCTTTTTGTCGAAACTTGTCTCCCTTCTTTTTCCTCACTTCTCCTTCTCCTCCTTTGTCCTGGCGCTTTTTTCTGATAGGAGCGTTCCCAAACCTCTACGCTCCCTTTTTAATCCACTTCTCCCCCTCTTCCTTCCTTTTTCTTCTTCCCTGTCTCCCATTCCTCCTTTTTCCTGGCAGGCACCGGCTACTCCTCCAATCTTATCTTTTCCTCCTTTCCTCCTCCTCCTCCAACCCTTGGACCCCCTGTTTAACGTCTCTTCCGAAAGACGTGAGCCCAGTTTTCCCACCGAGATAAACCCCGATTCCGGTGATGAGCGGCAGCGCGGAAAAATATTCCATGTTTACGTGACTCAGTGGACTCGAACCCGCGATCTGCGAGTTACGAGTCTGGCGCTCTACCACTGAGCCACACTGCCGCTCACATATATATATATATATATATATATATATATATATATATTTATGTAGGAGGCCGAGTTATATATTCTTAATGTTATTTATTTACCCTTTGGCGGAAATCATGGCGTTATTTGGTTACAAAGACAGAGAAAAGTATTGTTTCGTAAGTGTCTGGATAGCTCAGTTGGAAGAGCATTCGCCCGGCAAGCAAAAGGTCTCGGGTTCGATTCCCGATTCAGCCGACTTTGAGACTAATATTTTCTCGCCTTGTAGCTTTATAGGAGGTTTTAAATTAAAAGAGTATTGCAGGAATTAGAGATCCAGATCAAGAATACTATTTCTCTAAACTAACGAAAAAAATTAATTTTCGTGGACGCAAAGAACATCGCGGTATGGCCAATAAGCTGATATAGATATATATATTAAAAAATAAAAATTTAAAATTTAAATAAAAAATTTAAAAAAATGTAATGTACCAAAAATACTTAGCGCTGTTTTTGTATTATTATTTTAACACATTAGTAAATAAAATAAAATATAAATCAAAATACAGACTAATCCTTTTACTACGGTACGCTCTAACAGAAATCCATAATCATTACATGGTTCGATATTCGAATACAATTTAACTCTGTCTCCTTCAAAATAGTTTTCTTGAGAAGTCACACTGCACCTGAGACATTGTTTCCAGTCTTCATAGCAGTGCTGGAACTCAGAAACCCGAATGGCCTTCAGCTAGTCGGTTACAGCCGCTTTTACGTTTTCGTATCAATGTCCCTTGAGATGTCCTTTGAAATGAGTCGTCAATCTTGGGAAGAGAAAGAAGTTACATGGACTCAGGTCAGGCGAATACAGGGGTTGGGGAACGACAGGAATGTTTTTCCGTGCCAAAAACTCCGTCCACAACGCTTTTGATTACGGAGTTTTGGGCACGGAAAAACATCCCTGTCGTTCGGCAGCCCCTGTATTTGCCTGACCTGAGTCTCTGTAAATTCTTTCTCTTCCCGAGATTGAAAACTTATCTCAAAGGACATCTTAGCGTAAAAGCGGCTGTAACCGACTAGCTGAAGGCCATTCGGGTTTCTGAGTTCCAGCACTGCTATGAAGACTGGAAACAATGTCTTAGGCGCAGTGTGGCTTCCCAAGGAAACTATTTTGAAGGAGACAGAGTTAAATTGTAGTTAAATTATAAATAAAAGTTCATCTCAAAACAGTCTCATTACTTTATTTACACACCTTGTACGTCTGATAGCGACAATGATGAACTTGGAAGAAAGTTTGACACCAAATCTTGATGTTCTTTCCTTACGTTAGAAATTTAGGCGAGAATCTAAACAGAGCTTTGAATAAGGTAGGCATCAATGTGGTGCACAGCATCCCGAAAAGTCTCAATTGCTTAATTACCAGAGGCAAGGACAGAGTGAACAATGGCTGTAAAACAAACATAGTTTATGAATTAAAATGTAACAATTGCGAAGCAACATACACGGGACAAACAAAGAGCCACACGTGTTAAAGAACATTGCAGTAATATTAAAAAACATCCTAGTAATTAAAATGTGATCAGTAAACATCGGGTTGCACATGGGCACGATTTTAATTGGAAAGACCCAAAAATTTTACATTGCGAAAAACATAAAAGATGCGGAAAAGTTAAATCCGATATATATGTTAATACAGAATATATAAGCTACAGTTTGGTTTGTCTTTATTTATTTATTGCTGTCCTAGGTTTAGTGTCGTTTTTATTTTATTTATTTTTTTATTTTTATTTTCCTTGCTGACTTATTATTTTATCATACTGTCTGTGTTTTATTATTAATGTCATAATTTATAATCTTGATCAACGTTATATAACACGAAATAATTTTATCCGGAGATTATTATGTTCACATGTTTGTTTTATCAACACCGCTATGTATAGTCGCGAATAATAATTTTAGTCTAATATGTAATTTTTCTTTTTAAGTATGTGTTTTAATTTGTACGATTTATGTAAATTATTATATTATATAATTTTGGTTCTTTTTAATAATGGATGTTGTAGATACACTTAATAAGGGCCAGTAATTGATGGCCGAAACGTTGTGAAAATTTGTTATTTCTGTAATATGCCAGCTTGGTCGAACTGAATAAATTAAG